TTTCTTCTTTCCTTTAGCACAAAATGACATGGGAATCTCTCCCATGAAGAGCTGCTGCCTCCAGGGTTACGGTAGCGTATCAGAGCAGCTCTGACTTCAGACTCCCGTAGATATTCCCAGCCCCCTCTGAAATCCTCCTCTGGCATCAGTCCCTGCGAAAACTCTCTGGTCGCTACAGCTAAAGTTGACACATTGCTGCACATCACGGTGCTTCTTTAAGCACTCATCTTTCTATTTTAACCCATGTGAGAATCCTTAGGTCCAGGCCAATACAAACTAAAGGGTCCAAGGAATGTTTCTGATATAGTGACCAGATGTCTTACATCTGAGTCCAGATATATTACATCCACTGCCTTCTTCACTCACTGCATTCCTCAAAAACACTGATCAGTTTTTTCTCCTATGATACAGTCTTTCAAAGCTCATGTTACCCACTGTTATTATTCATAAGCTTAGTCTTCTGCAGTCATAGAATCATAGAAAATTAGGGTTGGAAGAGACCTCAGGAGGTCATCTAGTCCAACCCCCTTCTTAAAGCAGGACCAACCCCACTTCAATCATACCAGCTAGCATGGAGTCAACCCCTGGGGTGTCAATTGCAAGATTTTATATATATCAGTTTTGCTCAATATTTTTTCATTTCATTGTGTTATAATCATGACACTCAAGCAGACTCGTCTTTCATCTGCAAAATGACCCCATGAACCACAATATTGGGACAATATGCAAAGAAAGTACCTGATCATCTTATATTAGCATCTTCTTTGTGATTACACTTGTGAACATACCACACCAATAAGGGCACTGTCACACAAAGGATTCATTTCCTTTATAATTCACACAACTCAAGAAAATATCTCTTGATCCTGGACCAAAATGAGCAGACACTAATGGTGACCCAGGAGGAAGGGCAGCCAGCTGTGTGTAAACTGCAAATAAAGGCATACTTTTTGGAACCTCCTAGGTTATGTTAGCTGGCTCCATGTCTAATAAAGTGATAAATACCAAACCATGGATTTTACATCCAGGGGTGAACAGTGCCCATATGCTAGCTGATCATCTGCGTCCCATGAAGGGGTGTGGCATCTGGAATTAGGGTGACCAGACATCCCAATAAAATCGAGACTGTCCTGATATTTAGGTGTTTGTCCCGCGTCCCGACCGATGTTGGCAATTTGTCACAATATTTTGCACTCCTGGTGGGTTTTTTTGGCTCCGCCGGCGGGACTCCCCACCCTCCACCCCCACGTGTCCCGATATTTTCTTCCTCTCATCTGGTCACCCTATCTGGAATGTACCTTGTGTGCACCCAAGCAGAAAGCACCGCATCTCTGAATCAGAATGCCACCTAGTGCTCTATCTAGGAGCCTGTATTGGCTCTGCATGACCCCCTACGCAGGGCTGTGCCTAAATGGAACTATCAAACCCTTAATTAGCAGGAACATTTCTGAGTGCAGAGGAGCGCTCAGCTCAGCTCAGACAAACACTTCTGCCAGAGATGTGAATAATACAAAGACAACTCTGCCTCTGGTGGTAAAGAAAAGGGAAGAAGGCGCAGCTGAACAGGAGATGGGGCAGATTGAGATCACATGGGACAGTCCTAGACTAATAATGGGGCTTTAGATAATGGAGCTAAATAAAAATAGGCAAACAAACAAAAATAAAAATTATGGAAATCTCAGTACCAATGGAATAAGCTTAAAAGAAGAAAGAGGTAAACTAGGAGGGGTGTCGATGGAAGAGGATTTGGATTTAACAGACATTACTGAAACCTGGTGGAATGGCACAAACCAGTGGATACAGTACAGGAAGGACAGATGAG